AAACATTTATATACATACACTATGAGCTCTAGTAGGGTCTAATCTAAAGACAGCGAAGTCTCTCGGGCTCTGCACCATGAGCTGGCTTCCACTCATCTCGATGTTTTCCCAGCAAGCCCACAGCAGTCCTGTGCTTGTCCGGGAGGCCCCACAGCTGGAGGACAGCACAGTCCCAGGCTTACTCACAGCTTCCCCTGGCTGGCAAGGCCTGGCACTGTGTCGGGTTTGAGAACATTACAGTGCGGTGGCAGTGGTGTTGGCAGCAGCGTTGGCGGCAGTAGTTAGGATAGCAGCAGTAGGTAAGTCGACTTTTCTTTCTTTAGAGGAGGCAGAGAGGACAGAAGAGAAGGTAGGTGAAGAGTAAGAAGCCGCCCACAAATAGGGGCTTCTCCTTCAGCTTGTTTTGCTAACAAGATTAACAAGTAAAGGCAAAAGTCCCCCCCAAAGGAAAAAAAAAAGCATATGCAAAAGAGATGGGTGAAGAGGCAAACCAGGCTAGAGCAGGGAGAGAGACCCATTCCGACCATCCTTGTTGCAGGGCCAAGGCCAAACAGTTGTCTTTCCCTTTTTGTGGAACCAAGGTGCGTAGAGAAAAACCGGCATTCCCCAGAATAATAAAGGTTATTCAATAGCAACTGGATAGCAGTAAGTGCTAAGATACACTCCACAGAAGAATACAGACACGGTCAGAGGAGACAACAGAGCAGAGGGTGGCACTCAGACTAGGGTGACAGACACTCTCAACCTTCCCATACCTCCTCTATGCCAGCGAGCTGAGAGGTCCAAATTGGCCAAGGAATGGGAGGGTGAACATCTGAGACCTTCTACTTCCCAAGGCCCACCCCCCTACACATCCACTAACAGCTGAGGAGGATATAGAAGACAGAGGCGACATAGAGATAATCAAGACAGAAGCCAAACCATAGGGGTCATAAGGCAGCCACCCTCATGCCTCACCACAACTGATCTTGACCTCCTGGAGGAATTCTGTCGAATGGCCCATGGCCCATGACAGATGCAATGGTGGCTGTTCTTGCTCATAAAGGGTACAAAAGTCTATCTCTACTACAGCTATAAGCTGACAGACATATCATCTTACTAGCCTAAAACAGTCCACAGAGGGAGGGGTTGGAGATGGCTCAGTGGTGAAGCATACACATTGCTCTTGCAGAGGACCTGAGTTTTGTTCCCAGTACCCACATCAGGAGGCTGACAACTGGCTATGACTTGAACTCCAGTGTATCTGATGTCCTCTTTTGGCCTCTGTGGGCACCTGCACTCATGTGTGTACACACACACACACACACACACACTCCTTTGAAATAAAAAAAACCAAGACAGAGCAAAGTCACAGCCAGACACACACACACACACACACACACACTCCTTTGAAATAAAAAAACCAAGACAGAGCAAAGTCACAGCCAGACATCCAGACAAAGCACCAGCACCATCTGCCAGCCTAGCCCAGGCTGGGCTCTTCCACTTTCCCAAAAACCTTTTCAGCCAGGTCTGCCTGGAAGCAAAAACAAGTGAGAAAGGCCCCTGGGGCCTCTGTAGCCATTAGATATAAGTCCCTGCCTATCTCACATGGGCAAGTGTCTGTGGTACATTCCAGAAACAAACACAGCAAGCAGGATATTCCTTAGCACCTTTGTCTAACCCCAGCTCTAATACCAGCCCTGATATGCTTACCTTTGCAGCCTTCACAGCAGGGTCAAATAGAAAGCACTCACTGGAGAAAGTCAATATGCAAAGGAACACAAGAGACTTTGCTTTTGGTTTTGGTCTTGCTATGCAGCCCAGGCTAGCCTTAAACATACTATGTCATGAGGTTGCAATCCTCTTCTTTCTTACTACAATTACAGGTACAAATCATTGACCATGTCTGGCTCAAAAATGAGATTTTGTTTTGTTTTGGTTTTTTTGAGGCAGGGTTTCTCTGTGTAACAATTCTGGCTGTTCTGGAACTCATTTTGTAGATCAGGCTGGCCTCAAACTCACTGAGATCCACCTGCCAGAGCCTCCTGAGTATTGGGATTAAAGGTGTGCAACACTATGCATGATTTCAAAAATGATTTTTATGACCATGAATAAAACACAGGGCTAAAGTACACAGTATCTTTCCCGAAAAGGAAGGCTACACCAAGGGACAGATCACAGGCAGCCCATGCCCTACTCAGCAATTGACAGGGACTTCTGGGGAAGGGTGTTGGGGAGGGACAATCCCAGTTTATCAAGGGCCATGATCTGGCCAAGCTAGGAAAGGAGACTTTGCTTCCAGCAGGGACGAACCCAGCCAGAGAACCAGGAGCAGGCATCCGGAGTGTGGGTATAAATAAATGGACAGGACACAGGGAAAGATACTCCATATTCCAAACCTACTGGACTGTGGAGAAGCTGCACCATCAGAGATGTAGGAATAAGTCTGGCCAGGGTTTGGGAATCCAGGGCCAAGACGAGGCACAAAAAACATGACTGTCTCTTCCACCAAGTGGGTTAGGAACAATGAAGTGGGAGAAGTCACCTCTATTCCAGGGGTTTCACAGAGCTACTGAGGTAGAGGAAAGAAGCTTAAGACATAGCCAGAAAGGGCTGGGGGAGGGGCAGGCAGAGGCCCAAGAAGGGGGCAAGGGTCTGGGTGAGGGATGACAGGCAGCTTGCCCATGGCACACTGTAAAGGGTGATGGGGAACAAGTGACTGGAGATAGGTCAGGACCAGCCCCCAGATGGTATCACACACTAAGGTTTCAGATCGCTCTGGCCCTTGCCGGAGGCAGTAAGGACATTGTTGAAGGGTTTAAGGAGAGTTAGTGACATACATGGTCAGAAGCAGAAAGATCTTGAGCAGCTGAGTAAGGAGACTAAAGGTGTCAGAAGCAATACAAATGAGACTGCAGAAACCACTCCTAGTTACTGACTCTGGGACCAAGGAATGTCACAGTTATGACCCAGTGTGTAATTTTTATGATAGATAGTCCCCAAAGCATTTCTTTTTCTTTTTCTTTTTTTTTTTTTTTTTAATTTAAGTTTGGTGGTACCAGGTCGATGCCTTCCCATTACTACTGGCTTTGTCTTTTCCTGACTAAAGTATGAGGGACAGAATGCATCCCTGTTTGCTATATAATACCTTGACATTCCTTTCCACATCAAGGTCCATCCCAGGGCTGGACTTAGCTGGATATCTGTCTCAGAGTAGGACCACAGCACTAAAGAATGTGCTCTTAACAGGGCTTACGCATGTCATGGCAAGAGGACCAACAGAAACCCAGATAACAAAAGCCAGACTTGTTCCTCCGCAACAACTGTAAAGCCCCTCCCATACCCCTCCAGCACTTATTTTGAGCTTTAAGTTTCACAGTGGCTGGGGGGGCCTACATTGAACAAGGTCAAGAGCTTCCTACAGACAGACGTAGAAACCATAAAAACTCATGGGGGTTCATTTCTGTGTGTGGGACTCAAGACACATCCCTCTCTGAAGAAGTTTATAAGGCTCGGTCCCGGGAGTCTTCCCAGAATCGTCTGACCCCTGCTGAGGTCCCAACAGGTGGGAGGCAAGACTGATATTGGTACTATGTTGAAATAAAGCAGGAGGCAGGAAAAACAATAAAGAATTTATCAGCAAAGTACCAGGCAGAGGCAAGAGGCAGGAAGATCGGGGAGAGGGGAAAGAAATTAAGACAATAACAGCTAATATTTACTAAGGGTTTGTCACACAACAGGTGCTTCACAGCACAGTGAGGAAATACTAACTTCCTCTCCTTTCTTGGAGGGAGCTGTGTTGTCACAGGCTGATGTGGCCTACCCAGGATCACTGTCTGAGAAATGGCTCCCAGCCCTTGATACCAGGGCTTTGAGAGATACCCCCAGGAAGGGGCTAAATGGTCTCAAAAAGAGCTACTGTGATCCAGTAGGAGGGAATAAACCTGGAGTCTGGGTTGGGGTGTAGTTGTGGCCCACTGTTATTGGTGACCAGTATGTATCTCTGCTGGTTATTCCCACCCTCTGAGTCTCTTAGCTGTGACACACAGCAGAAAGTGCACTCCCTGCCCTCTAGGGTCTGGGCAAGTCCAAGCAAACAGTGAAGGGGAAGCACTCACGATTTTTTTTGTTTTTCTTCAATGCTGGAGCACAAAGAACAGCACTTGAATGTTTGGCAGGCATTCTACCATTAAGCTATACCCCAACTTCTAAAAAAGATTCTTTTTCTGATATCAGTGGGTAATAAGAGAAAGGAGTTTCTAGTATCCCAGGGAGAGTAGGGGGAAGTAGAGATGGGGCTGATTTAGGGTTGTTTTTCCCAAAGTGTGACTCACAGGACACTAATCACTGGAGATGATTCTTGGAAAACAGCCCTGTCTAGACTAGGCCAGGAAGGGCTTGCGGAGGTCACACTGTGTCAGTGCATGGAGAGCTCTATACCAATGAGAGCTGCCTTTTCACATATTTAGGATATCCTGTACTAGATTAACAGGGCACAGCCTTCTCTCCTTCCTAAGTTCCCAAAGCATTAGACAGTCATCATCCAATCACACTGCTTTGTTTTGTTCCTCTGTGTAGACCTGGCTGTCCTGGAACTCACTCTGTAGACCAGGCTGGCCTCGAATTTCCAGAGATCTGCCTACCTTTGACACAAAAATGGATTATGGTTTTTGAATTTTTTTGTAATATAGGAAGGAAAATATACAGCTACCTTAAAATTATAATCAGTGATAATTGGAGGTATCTTTTTTTCTCCTTCCATTTTTGCTGGAAGATTACTTCCAAAACCCAAACACACCCTTCCTATTTCCCTTGGCTAACAGAGCAGATTATCAACAAGCAAACATACCATTTGGCACTTAACTCACTGCACAGTTTAAGTAAGGATAGGAGCAGTGGCAGGGTTGGCACTTCACTGTAAAATGCCAGATTGTGTATGAAACAACTCCTTCCTTAGTACCGAGCACGCATTTGTGTGCCCAAGTCCCACTTCCTCATCCCATCTTCCCAAACCTCACCTGGTTGATGACATAGATGCCATAGTCCAGTTGCTGGCGCTGTAGGACAGGATGCAAATAATATAGCCAATATTTGAGGTGCTCCTGCCGGTTTCGGAATGGAATAATGATGGCCACCTTGTGAGGAGAAATACAGTCCTTGGGGGAGTAACGACCTCCCATCTCTATCTCTGGGTTCTTCTTTGCCAAAAGCTCCAGATCCACAGCAATATTAAAGTCAATCACCATGGGGCCAACTAGAGAGATGGAAGGAAGAAGTTAGCCAGATGCAGGATCCACCATGCCACAGACCTGGAGGGAGCGCACAGGCACTACAGAAAGGGCAGCCATACCCAGCACTCGTGTGGCAAATCAACCTTTCCAGGAACTCCTAGTGCTGGGCATACCCAGACAGCCTGTTACCTATGGAACACCCCTCTGCCCAAGAGACCCTTGGGTTGCATTGGAAACAAATCAGTTTCTTCTCAGACCACTTGACTGTTGCAGTACAGATAGTGAGCACAGATGAGCTCAAGACCTAGCTCTGCTACCTGCCATCTGTGTGCTTTTACACAAAGGACTAACCTGGCTCTTTCTAAATTTTATCTAAGCAGGGTGTGGTAGTGCCCTTTATTCCCAGCACACAGGGAGGCAGAGGCAGGCCTATCTCTGAGTTTGACGTCAATCTGGTCTACAAAGCAAATTCCAGGACAGCCAGGGTGGTTACACAGAGAAACCCTTTCTCGGGGGTGGGTTGGGGGAACCCAAAATAAATAAAACCTAACTAGATGGGGAAGGGGAGATGTGTAACTAGAAAAACAAAAAAATCTAGCTGGATTGTAGTGTGTGACATTATCAATGGGGAAACATGGAGGCAATGAGACCCCAGAAGAAAAGGAGGAGAAACCAAAGGAACAGCTGGGAAGATCACTAAAAAAAGAAACAACAACAAAAAACCGTAAGCTGTGGTGGCACTTGAGAGGCAGGCAGATCTCTGTGAGTTCGAGGCAGGCCTGGTCTGCAAGAGTTCTGGGACACGCTCCAAAGCTACAAGAGAAGCCTTGTCTCGAAAAACAAACAAACAAACAAACACACTTAATTTTTGATGAAGTATATAAACCAAAAAGGCAAGGTCAGGATGGCTCCAGAATTTCTGTCCTCTGGTCAGAGAAACGAGCCAATAAGAAGTGCTCGCTCAGAGGACTAGGAAAGGCAGTCAGCAGATTCTGAAATGGTGGTCAGGAACAGAGGGAAGGAGTCTATGGAACGCACAAAGTGGTCCAGGCACATATGGGGGGGGGGGGATGGATCAGGCAGAGACCCAAGACTGCAAGCCCAGGCTCATCGTGTTCCACCATCCTCAAAGATCTTCAAAACGGGTTCCAGAAACATGAGTCCCAGCAAGATACTCAGTGGAGAACGATGCCCAGGACAAGCCGGGAGAAGCCACACCCAAAGGCACTGAAACTACTGTGCTGTCAAGAAACACCTTGCAGTTCACTAACTCACCATTTCCTAAATCTGCATCGTCACTGAAACAATGCTGCATTTAGTGAACGTTTACTGTGCTGTGTGTACAGCTTCACATGTGAAACAAACCAGGCACTAGAACACAGGGGAGAACCCACCACGGGAGGGGCACTAACCAGATCAGAGTCACCTGAAATACATGAATGGGAACCACTACTCCTGCCCACCCCTGAGCGGGCCCCAATCTGTCCTGTTCAAGTTCACATGTTCAGGGAGATGTGCCCTCCTAGAATTTTCCTCTAGCAAAGGAAGCTGTGAGCCTGCTCCCTCTGCCTGGTGAGCGTTTTTGGACAGCTGCCACCTACCTGCCTGGGAATCTCTTCCATCTTATCTCTCTTTCATCACAGGACTTGTTCCCATTCGTTAGTTTCCTTCTGAGACACAGCTCTGATCATACCAACTTCATGGAGAAAGCTGTGTAGCCTTGCACAAAATATGGTCAAACACTTTGCCTAGGGAACAAGGCCTACCACTCAGCTGTCTTCCCCATCTTGGTGCCAATTTCCTTAGCCTTTCCTACTCTCCTTAAACCAACTAACTTTTGCACCGACAGGCAGGTCTCAATAGAACGTCATCCTCTGTTTGACTCTCTGACAACCACAGAACTCAGTCAATAAAGGCAAGCCTCAAACTCAAGAAAGCTGTGCCTCAGATTCGGGCTATGACCTTCCTTTTGGAGCCCAGGAGTCTTGCAGAACCAGTTATTAACAAGACTGCTGCTGTCCCAACTCTGACCTCCCAAGATGCCCTGAGGTGGGCAGGTACTCTGCTCTGGGACTATGTTAGTGGTCAGCTTGTACCATATATCTCAATCCTATTAACAGAATTTCCTGGGGTAACTGGCACCACCAATACACAATCTCAGTCCAATTCAGCTGACTTTGGGAGGGACAGAAGTGGATAATTAACAAAAAGCCCAAGAGATTGGGTTTAAATGTATCTGTGTGCTATGTACGTGTGTGTTCCTATGGGTGTGTACAGGTGTGTGTGTATCTGGAGGCCAAAAGTCAACATTATTTTTTTTCCCCTTGATTACTTTCCACCGTAATTTTTTTCCCACTGTAATTTTTGAGCCAGGGTCCCTCACTGCCCTGGAGCTCATTGATTCAGCTAGGCTGAATACTAGGGATGGGTGTGTCTCCATTCCTGCTTCCCTCCCCAACACTGGGACTACAGACATATGCTGCCAAGCCTGGAATCTGGGGATCTGAACTCAGCCCTCATGCTTGTATAGCTTATTGAGTGAGCCATCTCCTCTGCCCTCAAATAATTCTTACTGGGCAAACTGGACAACAGAGAGCTCAATGACTCATTTTCACAAGCCTTGAAACTTTCATGCAATGAAGGTCCATAGGAGGTCCCTATTCTTTCCTACAAGACCTACTAGGCTTAGAAACTCAACTCTCCAATCCTAGGACAAGACCTCTGGGAGATCCCAAGGTATAGAGAACTCACAACCCATCACTGGGTTCTTCTTCCTTCAGGGGGCCCCACACCACCTGTTCCCCAAACTACCCTTTGGTTCTAGAGATATTGTAAAACACAACACTATTTACAAGAACCCAAGAGGCATCTAGGTTGCCTTCCTACCAACTTGCTTATACTTTCTGAAACCAACCCAGAAAACAAGAGTTCACATGTGGTCTGCCAAGCCATCCTCAAGGATACACCTGCAGGGTGAAGTGTTCTGTGTTGCCCCTGCAGAAAGATGCTAACGTAAAGAGCCCCAAATAAGAGAGGGGATTCCCAGACGCCAGTACAGCTGCATCAGTGACTTACTGGACAATCAGTGGACTTACTGGATAATTTCCATCTACTCTCAGGGCATCTATTTTCCCATCCACAAATTGCAAGGACTGGGCTAGATGAAGGTCTCACAAACACCCAACAGGCTTGTTAAAACTAAGAAGAACAGATCCAAACTAGGATCTTTTGAAAATACTCATTCTCACCCTCCTTGCTCCCCAAGATGGCACAAATGACCAAGCAGAAAGGAAGAAATGAATGTACTGGATGGGGAGAGGGGAAAGAAGGAATTACCAAGTACCATGCCCACTCAATGCCCCCCCCACCTTACCACCCACACTTTCTCAGCCTTTCCTTGATAACACTCTACCTTTCACTTGGGTTTCTGATTTAAACAATGACCATTCCCCAAGTTGTCACCATTCCCTATATTTCTGCTGGTTACCTAGGTCCCACAGACACCTTAATTAACCTACCCCAAATAACACATATGTACACTACCCTTCAACACCTACCCTCTAACTTGTTTCTCCTCCAGGGTTCCCTTGGCAACACCATTGCTGTCTATCCAGTGTGGGAGCTGACAGGGCAGTCCATCTTCCATCTCCTCCTCTTCCTATGCAACTCCAATATTTATCTGTTTCTGTCTGCCTCTGTCACACACACACACACACACACACACACACACACACACGAGGCACAAAGGTATGAAGAGCATGCTGACCAAACCCCTGGGAATCTACCAAGAATAAAACCAGCCTTTATTCTGAAATGTTTATAATACACAAACTCTCCTTGTGATAAGACAAGTTATTTTTCAATTTGTGTCAGTTAGTGCTTTCTGGGTACCAACTGAGTGACAATTTGCATGCCAGCTCAAGAAGGGTAAGTTGAGGGAACTAGAGAAAGAGTCCAGAAAAGAATGTTCCCACCTCCCAGACGCTCCCTACTGAATATACAGTAAATATAAATGACAAATGCCCTGGTTTCCAGCTGCCCGAGGAACGTGCTCTTCCAACAGCTTGACCACTGCAGAGCTTGGCCGCCGATGAGCCTTTGTTTTCTCTCTCCCACTCCCCTCTGTACCACTCTCACAGCTCACCATGCCTTTAACACATGGAGAGCACCTCACCCCCATGCCCACCTCTCTGACAGCTCTACATTCCAGGAATCCTGCAGCTCACCCCTCCGGAGTGAAGAGCATACAGCAACACCAGATCCAAATGTGAATGGCTTCTTGGGTCCAACATCAGCCAGAAGGCTGCAGACCTTCTGTCATGATGTAGGGGTGAGACTCCACTGCAAACCCAGCTCTGCTTTCATGAGAGAATCCAAGGAGGTAGACTCCAAGGCACCCTTGCTGCGTGGCACATGGCGTGTGCTTCCACAGGCTCTCAGCCCTGCTGGGCTGGCTTGTGTGTTTTCTTGGCTCTGAAAGCAGGGTTACATAAGCAGATGAGACGTGAGCTGTTCTCAGCTCCCCAGGCCCAAGCACTGCCACGTGGGCCTCACGGCTGGGAGTCCAGGTCATGGCCTTTTGTGTAAGTCTCAATAACTTCAATGTGTGAGTTCAACTCTGCAAATCCCACTGCTTCCTTAAAGGACACACACACAGCAAATCCAAACACATGTATGACCCTGTATCAAAAAACAGGGCTAAACTGGGTGTGGTGGTGTACATCTTTCCCCCAGCACTATGGGGAGGTACAGAGGCAGGTGGATCTCTGTGAGTTTGAGGCCAGCCTGGTTTACAGAGCAAGTTCCAGGACAGCTAGGGCTACACACACACCTTCAAAAAAAAAAAAAACAAAAAAACAAAAAAAACAAAAAAAAAAAAAAAAAAAACCAAACAAACAAAGAAGAAAAGAAAAGAAAGAAAAAGCAGGGCTAATCTAACTAATCTAAGATAACCCTAACACAGGCCCACTTTCATGTTGGCTGGGTCACTGGTTCAATTCTCCAGCCTCAGCAAAACAGGCTG